GGCCTCGGGTCTCATTTGTAAGAAATTAGAAAAAGAAGAGCAAATTAAAACTACACTATGCAGAAGAAAAAGGAAATAATAAAGGTAGAAATCAATGAAACAGAACAGGGACACACACACACACACACACACACACACACACACACACACACACACACAGGGGTGAGAGAAGAGAGAGAGGTAACAAAGAAACCAAAAGCTGTTTTCTTAAAATGAAACTAATAGATGTCTAGCCAGACTGCTGAGAGAAAAAAGACAAATACAAAAGACAAAAATTACCACTATAAAAAATAAGACATAAAGGTGCCATAAAGGCATAAACAACTTTATGCCAATAAATGCACTAATTTAGATGAAATGGGCATGCCCTTTAAAAGGCACAAACCACTGGGGCGCCTGGGTGGCTCAGTCAGTTAAGCGTCCAACTCTTGGTTTTAGCTCAGGTCATGATCTCGCAATTTGTGGGATGGAGTCCCGTGTGGTGCTCTGCACTGACAGCTCAGACCCTGCTTGGGATTCTCTCTCTCCCTCGCTCTCTACCCCTCCCCTCCTCATGAGCTCTCTCTCTCAAAATAAATAACTTTAAAAAAAGACACAAACTACCCCTGCTCACTCAGGATACATAGAATATGAACAGCCCTATAGCCACTAACAATACTAGATCTGTAGTTAAAAACCCTGCCACAGGGGTGCCTGGGTGGCTCAGTCGGTTGAGCGTCCGACTTCAGCTTGGGTCATGATCTCATAGTCTGTGAGTTCGAGCCCCGCGTCGGGCTCTGTGCTGACAGCTCAGAGCCCGGGGCCTGTTTCAGATTCTGTGTCTCCCTCTCTCTCTGACCCTCCCCCCGTTCATGCTCTGTCTCTCTCTGTCTCAAAAATAAATAAATGTTAAAAAAAAATAAAAAAAAAATAAAAAAAAAAACCCTGCCACAAAGGCTAGAAACTCCAACAAGCCTAGAGATCTCACTTAAAAAAAATGCTGACAGGGAAACAGGCCAGCCACATAATTAACCACCACTGCGTAAACCACGGGGTGAGAAGAAACAGATAAAAGAGGAGAAAGAAAAGGGAGAAGAGGAGGGAAAGTGGGAAGATGATAAAGACCTCCAGCTGAAACTTTTGGACCCTTTTATTAAACTTGATTTTACTAAACTTTACTAAACTTTATCACTCCCTTACCTCACAAAAGCAAACTTTAATTTCAAGAGGAAATAAGATAAACACTGCAAAGTGATGAGTTCCTGTTCCTAGGTGATTACTTTTGCCCATAATCACTGGACTCTACCTTTTCCCCGGACACTGTCAACAAAAAAGTAGCATTAATTGGTTCAGGAATCACCTGTCATGAAATTAAATGTAAATGCAGGGATGTTTCTTTCTCTTTTTTTTTAATATGAAATTTATTGTCAAATTGGTTTCCATACAACACCCAGTGCTCATCCCAATAGGTGCCCTCAATACCCATCACCCACCCTCCCCTCCCTCCCACCCCCCATCAACCCTCAGTTTGTTCTCAGTTTTTAAGAGTCTCTTATGTTTTGCCTCCCTCCCTCTCTAACGTCTTTTTTCCCCCCTTCCCCGCCTCCATGGTCTTCTGTTAAATGCAGGGATGTTTCTAACAACTAGGAAGCCTATTAGACACTTTCTTAAAATACCATACTTGAAGAACATGCTAATATATACGAAAAATCATTTTTTGTTTCATCCATTATAAGATGCTTCAGAGAAAATGCTTTTCATTCTCTCAACTTTCCTATTTAGCAAACAGGAACTTCTTGCCCTTCTCTATGTTTTTAGTGGAACACAAGCCAAAAAACTCTTCAGTGTTTACTTCCTTATTTGTCCAACAAATCATCATCAGTGAAGTCAGCAGCAACTGAACAACCCTGAAAGGAATGTTTATTAACTAAATACTATTCCAAGCCAGTTTAGGAATACAAAAAATATGACTTAGCTCTAAGTCTCAAGAACAGAGTTATGACCAATGTTCCCTAAACTCGGGTCCTTCCTAGAGCCAATAAGCCTCTGTAGTATCAGAGTTTCACATAGTTTTAACAGTTTCTCTTATAGGAGTATATTTATAAAGACACAGTTTTTATTTAGTTTTTTAAATTTATTGTTTATTTTGAGAGTGAGCGAGCACATGAGCAGGGGAGGGGCAGAGAGAGGGTAGGGAGGAGAGAGAATCTCAAGCAGGTTCTGAGCTGTCAGTGAAGAGCCTGACTCAGGGCTCCATCTCAGGAACCATGATTATGACCTAAACCAAAACCAAGAGTTGGATGCTTAAGTGACTGGCCACTCAGGTGTCTCCTAAAGACACAGTTTTTAAATATAACTGTTTCTAGCCTAGTCATAGCATAAAGTTGCCAGTTGCTTTTGTTGTCATTGTTATTTACCTTAATAAAATACTACATGCCTTAAAGATCTGAAACAAAAGTAACAAACCATGAAAGCACGTATGACTTCCTCATTCTCAGAAATGGCATACATAGGAGGGCCTGGGTGGCTCAGTTAGTTAACCTTCTGACTCTTGATTTAGACTCAGGTCATAATCTCACGTGTTTGTGAGATCAAGTCCAGATTGAGCTCAGCATCGGGCTCATGGAGCCTGCTTGGGATTCTTTCCCTCCCTCTGTCTCTGCCCCTCCCCTGCTCATGTGTGCACGTGCTTTAACGCATGCTCTTTCTCTCCCTCTCTGAAAATAAATAAAGATTTTTAAAAAATGACATACATACATTTATACTTTCACTGGTGGCATTTGAATGGTTTGGGAAGAGATTAATAATCATACATATTCTATTTGTTTATATTCCAATGTTTATTCTATTACCAATATGGGAAAAATTTTTTTCTTCCCAATCTGCTCCCTAGTTCCTTCCCCCCTTCTACCTCACCCCAAACAGTAATCATTTATTTGCAAGAATCATTACCAAATAAATATAAATAAGCCCTAACAATTTATAAAGCTAAGAGACAAGTTGGTTATTACAAAGCAATGAAGCCAAAAGCAATTCATTTTAAGTTAATTTAAAATTTATAAACTCAAAGTAGGCTGTACTGGTTCCATTTTCTTCAGTTGTAAAATATTCAACCTATCTGATAAATGAGCATATAATAACAAATGGTAACAGCAATAAGATTAAACTATATGAAAGCACAGAACTGAGAAAGTCTATTTTTCTTTCTCCCTATTAAAAAAATCACCAAATTTCATTCCACAAGTTTTATACTGAACACTGAGCTGTTTTTACTCACAGTGCTTCTGATACCAAATGTGTGGGGTTTTTTTTTCACACCAACCATTTCTCCAATTTTCTGACACCAAATGGGATGTATCCAACATTTCAATTCTGACACTATCTGCCTGAAGTTACCAACAGGTCCCCATAAGTGAAAGGGCTCAGTCCCACAAGCCTACCCCACTTCAGATGCCAACTGCAAGTCCCAGGCCACTTATACTTCTGATTTACTGCATACGAATCTGGGGTTCCCACAACCCCCTTCAGGACTGATAATAAAACCAGAGAGAGAGAGAGAGAGAGAGAGAGAGAGAGAGAGAGAGAGAGAGA